ACATACGGCAACAATAGTGAATGCATCATCGCCGCTATGAGTTCCACCCGCATTTTTTATATCCAAGATATATATCGATGTAAGATTGCGTGCGCGAGTGATTTACAAGGGGCCGTTAATACCGCCGAAAAAAGGACGCGAACTTTCGAACGGCTGAAAGAAAAACATTGTAACACTACCATCGAACTAAAAACAACCAAATTCCCCCCTTGGCACCCCGGCTTCGACAGCGTCCGAGATGATGGGCTCAAGACTTTTCCGGCGCAACTTCTAAGGGACCCCTTGTTCAATGGTAAGGCTGAGGGGCGGAGGGGATCATGCGAAGTGGCTGCATCATATACAGTCGGACTTGATTGGAAAGGACACGCGAGAGGACACGAGACCCTTCCGAGGGCCACACTGCCACAGGAATGCGAGAAGGCACGGGCCGCGAAGCACAGGACACAAGGGCACCCTTGATCTGGCAGGGTCGACCTACTAATCAGGGCCGACTGTGTATATATACATATATATATATATATTCCTCTTCCTATATTTTCATAAGCCCTGGCGGGGGGAAAACCCGTCACCCCCCCCCTCCAAACCAGACTCCCGGGATCTGGGGCTTTGGGACCCTCCGGACGGGCCTCGAAGCGGCCCCCCTGGTCTCGCAGGGCGTTTTGCCAAGCCTTCCCAGCACACCTAGGGCGATCAGGGGGGTCATCGGAGACGTCTCAGAGACCCCCCTGACAGCGCAAGAGCGCTCCAAAAGTGACCGACGTGACCTCAAGATGGCCCAAGAGGCCTCCAGGACGGCCCCAAAGAGGCCTCCAATAGCACCCCCAAAAGGCAAAAATTATTGATTTTCTGTTAGTTTTTGGTGAATTTTGGGGTTCTCCTCTGTTCGGCTTCCCGACGCTCCAAGACGGCGGTCTTCTGGGCGTCCGAAGCCGCCTGGGAGGCTCCAAAATCGCCCCACAACAATCCGAAAGGGCTTCCAGGCAGTCCAAGAGAGCCCCAAAACGGCACAACACGGGCCCAAGATGGCCCTCAGAGAGCCCCATGGCGGCCCAAGATGGCCCCAAGACACCCTCCGAAGCATTCCAAATCGTGACTCGGTCGTTCAGGGAGACCGTGGTTGGAGGCAGGGTGGCCCGAGAAAGCCCCCCGAGGCCCCCAGAATACGCCCAGGAGGCCTCCAGAAGGCCTTAAGAAAGCCTGAAGCCATTTGTTTTAGGCCCCCATAGGCTCTCCCAGGAGGAGCCTCCGCAAAAGAAGCTGAGGAGGATAGGGAGAATGCGCAGGGCATGGCGAACATGAGGAAAAAGAAGCATAGAGGAAGGATAACGAAAAACATTATCGTAGCGGCGATGCCAGAAAAGGCAACAAGGAGTTATCGCTAAATTGTCGGCTTGACCCTTCTGCTATTCCGCCAGCATACCAAACTTCAAGGACCAAGGTGCATGGCGCGAAGCGCCTCTAACCGTGGTCTCCCTGAACGCCCCAGTCACGATTTTGAATGCTTCGGAGGGTGTCTTGGGGCCATCTTGGGCCGCCATGGTGCTCTCTTAGGGCCATTTTGGACTCCTGTTGTGCCGTTTTGGGGCTCCCTTGGACTGCCTGGAAGCCCTTTCGGATGGTTGTGAGGCGATTTGGGAGCCTCCCAGGCGGCTTCGGACGTCTAGGAGACCGCCGTCTAGGAGCGTCGGGAAGCCGAAAAGAGGATAACCCCAAATGCACCAAAAACCTAGATAGAATCAATGTTTTTTCCCTCTTGGGGCCTTCTTGGGGGTGCTCTTGGAGGCCTCTTGGTACGTTTTGGAGCGATCTTTCGGGGTATGTCGGCTTCTTGGAGCGCTCTTGTGCTGTCTTGGGGGTCTCTGGGACGTCTCCGGTGACCCCCCCTGATCGCCCTGGGTGTGCTGCGAAGGCTTGGCAAAACGCCCTGCGAGGCCAAGGGGGCCGCTTCGAGACCCGTCCAGAGGGTCCCAAAGCCCCAGATCCCGGGAGTCTGGTTTGGGGGGGGGGTGACGGGTTTTCCCCCCGCCCGGGCTTATACAAATATAGGAAGAGGAATATATATGTGTATATATTTACACATATATCTCTATATGTATGTATGTATGTATGTATGTATGTATGTATGTATGTATGTATGTATGTATGTATGTATGTATGTATGTATGTATGTATGTATGTTTGTATGCATGCATGCATGCATGCATGCATGTATGTATGTATGTATGTATGTATATATCTATATATCTGTATATAGAAAAACAAACGGATCTTCAACGTTTGCTGCACACCTTTTTCCTCCAGCAGTAGGGTCAGCCCAAGAGGGAGAACTCCAACAGACATCTCGAGCCCTGCAGCCCAAGATGGGCCCCCCGCAACCGCCCGCAGGCCCCTTTAAGAAAGCCCCAGCAGGGCCCGATGAGCCCCCGAGAAGCACAAGCGAGGCCTCCAAGCGACATGACCCTCGGCGGTGGACAAACCTCCCTTTAGCGAACCTCCCCTCAGCGAAAACGGCCTGGAACCGAAACCGACGGACCAAAACCCGCAAAAATAACGGCCGCGACGCCTTCTCGCGAACTGAGAACGGCCAATTCCTTAATCGACGTGACAAAATACGAGGTCTATCCACCTCCGAGAACCAACCGGGTCCGTTCTGAATGCCGTGCGGGGTTTCCCAAAAGAACGCAAAGCTCCAACATGCTTCTACGACAACGCCCGCCGGAAGAGTAGCATCCATGGCTTCCAAGGGGTCGGCGGTCCAGCGTAGCCCAATGAATCTCCTCCGTCATTCTCGCGGAACTGTCGCTCGGGTTCTTAACCAGCGTGGGCGGTATGAAGTTGGATGCCTCGTCCACCTGCCCTAACTGATACACCTCTGCATCCCCAATTGACGCCAGCAGCTTCTTCACGCGCTCGCAGTGTCTCTGGTTGATGATGCGTCCAAAACTGTCCGATTGCTTCGCGTCCGCTCCGTACGCGGCCAGCATGGTCTTCTTCAACTCGGCCTCCATCGTTTCTGCCACGTCCTTGTGGACGAGGGCATAGTCGGGTGCAATGCAGATCTGGCCAGCATTCATGCACTTGCCGTTCACGATCCTCTTCGCGGCAACTGAAATGTCGGCTCCGGGAAGCACGACGGTCGGCGACTTGCCACCCAGCTCCAGGGTACAAGGTGTCAAATGGACCGCCGCTGCCTTCATTACCTCGCGAGCCACGACACTGTTCCCGGTGTACACTATGTGGTCCCACCTGAGCTTCAGGAGCTGCTGGGTCTCTGCGACGCCACCAGTCACTACGGCGATGGCGTCTGTGTCCAAATAGCGCGGGACGTACTCCTTGAGAAACCTCTCGCACGCGGATGACACCTCCGATGGCTTCAATAGGACGCAGTTGCCAGCCGCAATGGCGGAAATCATAGTTCCAACCGCGAGGCCGATCGGGAAGTTCCACGGCACGATGTCCAACACAACGCCCTTCGGCTCGCGGAGGACGACCGACTTGCCAGGCTTCTGCAACATCGGCGTGGGCCTCCTCTCTGGAGCCATCCACTTCTTCATGGCCTTCAGGGTGTAGTCGATCTCGGCGATGGTGCCGAACGCCTCGCCGCCCATGATCTCCTGCCTGGGCCTCTTGAGGTCATCTGTCACGGCCTCTTCTATCTGCCCAAGGTTGTCCTTCACCATGCGGCGGAGGGCCGACAGCTGCTCGGTGCGCCACTCGTGGCTCTTCGTGCGGCCCGTCCTGAACGTCTCGAAGAGGCGCGCGTGGATCGCCTCTACGGAGTGGGCAGGGGCATTCGACGCCGCCGTGGTCGCCAACAGCGGAGCCGCCAACAGCGGAGTCGCCATGGCCAGCCGGGACCCTGGAGTCGATGGCAAGGTGGCGGGAGGGACAGGTGTGGCCTGGTTGACCCCAGGCGGCAACGGAAGGGAAGGACGAGGAGGAACGTGAAGGGGGCTCCCCTCCTGCTCATCTTCGCGCCGTCCTCCTCTCTCCCCGTCTTCACGTCCTCCTCCTCGTCGTCGCCTTCCTCCCAAAACGGGCGACTGATTGCAATTGTGGCAAATCATGTAATGCTTCCGTGGCAACAGACGCCAACCAATCCAATAACAATTCGGCGATAATTGCTATGTTTCTGCTTGCAAACTGGCCAACATGCACGCCTGGAGATCAAACTGTGTCAACATCGGATGTACTTCGAGATGTTTGCTTCGAAGCCGGAATTGGTGTGAGTGTGGCTGGCATCACATGGAACAACACATGTGTACACACATTGCACACCGTCCGCCAGCGTGGCATGCATCGAATCTGTCGCATGTCGCTAAGCAAAATGTCAAACTGGAGAATGGTCCGTAATACTGAAGGCTTTGACCGAACATCAATCACGTGAGCTCCTCGTGGTCAATGGTAGAGGACGAACTAGTACCAAAAGTACGAAACGCACTACGCAGTACGACGAACGATGACCCACCATCACATACTAGCAAGGAACAATTCACAGCATCGCAATCCAAACTAGCCCACCACTCCTCGGATGCAGTCCAATGAGCCTCCAATGCAGCCCGAGAGGCCTCCTAGACAACCAGTACGTCTCAGACCTGTACCCATGCTCTACTTGGAGCCACATGATGAACGACTGTCGTCCCACGACGTATGAGCCGAAACATGCGATGAACAACGACATCACGACAACCGCGGGTAATCTCGAGCATCGCGGCGCAAGAGCGAGCTGGGGAACTCAAGACGAGGCGGACTGGTAGGACGAGGAGAGGGAGGAAGAGGGGGATGAAGAAAGGTCCGAACATCCGACGCCGTTTTTTTCCCGACGCGGGCCCCGATACTCTTGGCCCGACCCAGGGAACCTATCCTTCGCCGCCAGCAGGGCGTGTTTGTTTGCTGGGCCCACGCGCCCGCAAACGCACCCCATTAGCTGAGCTTGCAAACGAACGCCCGTTGTTTTTTGATGAGGAGAGGCCTGAAGGTCTGGAGGATAGGGGGGAAGCCTTCTTCTCGTCGGACCAGCTGACCTCCCAGAAGGCGACATCCACGTTGCAGTCGTGGGGGTCCTGTTTCTTCCCGCGCCGTCCGCCACAACCCCTGCCACTCCCTTTCCCATCTCTCCATTTCCTCGCACACTTCTATGTTACTTGTTCGCTCTGTCTCTCTCTCTCTCTCTCTTTCTCTCTCTCTCTCTTTTTTTTTTTTTTTTTTTTTTTTTTTTTTCTCACTCTCTCTCTCTCTTTATCTCTTTTTGCTCTCTCTCTCTCTTTGTTCTCGCGCTCTCTCTCTATCTCTCTCTCTCTCTCCGTTTTATCGCTATCCGTCTCTCTCTCTATATCTCTCTCTCTCTTTATCGCTATCCGTCCCTCTCTCTCTCTCTCGCTCTGTTCCCCTCCTTCCCGTGGAGGGGCGGCGATGAGGGGAGGGAGGGCCGATGGAGGAGGAGGAGAGGGTGGGGATGTGGTGAGGGGGACGGTCAGGGGAGGAGGGGAACGATGAGGACACATATGGCGGTGGAGAGGAGGGAAGAGGAGGAAGAGGAGGAAGACTATGACCCCTCCCTTCCTCTCTGGTGCTCTCCGCTCTCTTCCCCACTTGTCTGTCTGCTGGTCTGCCTCTCTTCTTGCCTGTCTGTCGTTCGTCTGGCTGTCTGTCTGTTTCTCTCCCCCTCTCTCTCTCCCTCTCCCTGCCTGTCTCCGTGCGCGAACAGGGACAAGTACAGGGCCAAGCTGACGTCCAGAAGCCGCCCCCCGCGGCAGTGCACCGCCAAGACCGCACGCCGCAGCGTGAGCGTCGGCCGTTGAGGCCGCGGCCGACGCCACCCCCGCAGGCAACATGAGAAACAACGGCTGTGACTGCGGCGCAGAAGCAGTCCGCCCCGCAGCACACGACTACCAACAATGGGTTGGCAGCTCCGCCAGCGCGGGCAACGACAAACAGTCTGGCCAACCGGTCATCCCGCTCACCAGAAAAAAGACAAGGGAAACAAAAACCAGCTGGACCAGCTGAAACCGAACGCCACCCAGCCAGACAGCAGCTCGCGTCACCGAGGACGGCAGGCGCAATGGTCAATGGCAACGCCGAAAGAAGGGTCCACCCTGCAGGCGTCCCCGTCAAATCGGAACCCAGGGCTAAACCTACCCTGACCAAGTCTAGCCTAGGTGTGCCCAGACCAGCAGGTGCAGAAGCTCGGCCCCCAGGCGGCGCCAGCTGGCCAATCACCACTGGGTGAGAGACCTCCTGTCCCGAAGGCGCCACCCAAACGTGAGAATGCAAGCTACCACCTTCCTAAATTTGGGGACGACCTGGCTGTGCCCGACACGCACAGTGAGCCACAAGGGCCAACCCTGGCACCAAGCGGCGGCACGATCGTCCCACCCAGTGAAGCACCTAGTTTTGCTGCCCAAGCGAGCGGCGGAAACTTTGCGACCCAGGGAGCCTATGCCCGGCCGTCAGCGCCATCGCCGACGCGAGGGCGTTTTTCTCAGGAACGGGTGCGCGAAACCTGTCAGCGGTCCCGCTGGCTACAATCGCGCCAAGCTCTCCGGAAACCGTCTCGGACGATCCGCCGACAATTCCCGAGAGCAAAAAAATCGTCGCGTCTGACCGCACCGCACCGGGTGCAAGCAGCCTACCCGTCGGTCTCCGACTGCAGAGCAAACCGCCCCTTGCAAACCCCAGGTCTCTCAAGACCGCGGGTGCAGAGGGCCAGCCCAGGTCGACCTGGAAGCGCCAGACGCCGAGGAAGATCACGCCTCAACTCTCGTGAGGCTGATGTCGACCCCGACGTCGACAGCGCAGCCTACAGTCGGGGCGTTGACCTAAGGAACCCTAAACAAGGAACGAGGCCCCTATTTTCCATAAGTTGAACTTCGATTTCGTATCGAAAACCAGAGGGAAACCCAAGGCAAACTGTGAAACAATCGAGAAACACGGAACCCCTCCCCAACGAGAAGGGTTCCTTATTCAGCGCCCCGACTGTAGACAAAAAGGCCAACGAGGCCAGCGATGAGGCGGGCCCGGGCGCGGGACCTGCCGAGGCGGCCGCGCCCACGCGCGGCCACGGGGGCGGCGGCCCCGCGCCGGGCGAAGGGGACGGCGGCGGCGCCTCCCCTCGTCGCGGCGACCGCCGCCGCCAGGTTGTCCGTGGTCTCTTGTGTGGGGATTGTGACCTGCCCCCCATTTTTTTTTTTTTTTTTTTTTTTTTTTTTTTTTTTTTTTTTTTTTTTTTTTTTTTTTTTTTTTTTTTTTTTTTTTTTTTTTGTTTGTTTTGTTTTTTCTTTGGTTTTGTAATATATTTATATATTTACACACCTGACACACACACACACATATATATATATGTATATTGTTACAACACAGTTGTTGTTTTTTGGTGTTGTTCATTTTTCTTTTTTCCTGTACGGGGCCCCGTAGAGCGCGGGCGGCCGATGCTGATCGCCCCAGCGGCCCACGTAGACCAAGCCCGTCTGCGAGGAGTCCCCTGGCGGCCAGAGGAGGCCCGAGCTCCACCGACGGGAACGGCCCGCAGATGGCCCATCTCGTGAGTATCAGCGTCGCCAGCCTCGATGCTACTCGGAACGTTTTGACCATGCTCCTGGAACACTGCGGACCCACCATCGTAGCCCTCCAAGATCCCCGCCATTCCGCGGACCGCATGCACACCTTTGACACGAACATCCGATCGCCAAAACATGGACTCTGGGACCCGTCTGGGGGCGGAGCCCCGCGGTCGATTACGTGCAACGCAAAAGGCCACGGGGGGGTATCGAGCGCAGAGTCCGCTTCACCGCTGCCAAGCACGGAGGGGGTGCGCATTTCGGCGCCAAGCGCGCCTGTCGAAGCCGCCAAGGACGATCCCATCGTTTTGGCCGTCCTCGCGGCCGCGCGAAGGACCGAAACCTACCATTAGGTCGGGCCTGTCCCCCTGCAGGGGGACTTCGGATGAGAATTCAAAACATGCCAAAAAACAATTTAACAAACATCAGAAATGGTCCAACAATCGTCCCCAGACTCTTTTTGACTATTTTTGAATATCCCTCCTGTGAAGGGACAGGCCCGACTTAAGCCTACCGCCGCATACTCTCTCCGAGCGCCACCAGGCGTCGCAGTGGGGCGGGCATGGCTCCGACGGCCAAGCCACAGGCATCTTCGGTTTGGCCGTCGGTGTGCGCAATAATCGGGGGCAGACCACGCCGCGCTCTTCCAACGAGTCTGGCAAGCGGCCAACAAGGTCGGGGATTCGCCGCATACAGGCCTCGGAGAAATAGCGAACACTCATGCCACGTTCATCTGTGAACGCCTCCCCCTCCCCCCAATGTTCAAAATTGGCGGTGGGTCTGATAAGCTGCACCTCGACCGGAGTCTCCTCCGCGCGTGCCAACTTTGAGTTTGGGGGGCAGAGAAGGTGTTCACTACTTGTTTCCCTCTACCGTATCATCACCACGGATGCTCAAAACGGCATTAACTAGTCGACTTTCCTCACCCAGATGTGCAGCCTGGGGTGGTCTAGCGTCGCCTTCGGACATTCACATGCAGATTCCCGCGCCTACGGATAAGACCTAGACTGGGACTGAAGAGCACCGCGGACGGGGAGGACCCGAAGAGACTGCGTGCTCACTAACGCTTAAGGCAGACAGCAGGTCACCAACTTCGTCCTGCCCTGCGATATCCCTACCAAACAGCATCTTGGTCTACTCGTCTCTCTCAGCGGGGGGCGTCGCCAGACAGCCGGCGAGAATGCTCGAAGCGGTCATAGCTTACCCGCTCGCCTATCCAGCCATTGACAGTGACGAGCAACGCGTCCTAAGTGACTCCGTTGAGCCAGTCGACCATGCTCAAAATGGCGCAGCCGACTCTGCCGACGACGTTGATAAGCTTTTCGGACATGCCCATCAAGCGGCGCACGAATATCGCGACAAACCCCGCGCTTGAAGCCGAGCCAATCGCCGGCCAGGCGTGGCGAAACGGCCCATCTTTACAGCCGGCTACGCGACCCCGCTGGGAAGGCCAGGGGCCGGGGTCGCCAACTGAGTTGCGAATGCTTTGCACAGGCTCTCCAGGCCACCGGGATCCATGCAAAGGGGCCTGGCTGCTCGCGGCCGGCGCGTGGGCGACCGCGGTGCCGGCCGCCCTCTGGGACAACGTTAGATGTGCCTGGGTCGCCGCGGACGTGCTCGCCGAACGGTTCCGGCCCGGCAGCCGTATTTGGGGCCGTGAGCCAATCCCCGCTGGTCTACAAATGAAATCGCCTCATCGCTTCCGCCGCTGCCCAGTCGAGACGCACCCGCAAAGCTCGCCGCGTCGAGGCGTGGAGAAGCCGCGCGCGAGCCAACGGCGGCGGTGGGGCCAAAAGTCAAGGTCAAAGCTGTGGTAACTCCAGCACCGTTCACATCCGCACCCCCCGCAACGGGCCGCCGCGCGCGCCGCTTGGTGCCGACGGAGGATCCGCGCAGGAGGAGGACGAGCCGGCGCAGGACTCCGACTCCACCACTGCACGCAGCGATTCTGTCACCGACAGCGACGGCGACGAAGCCCCGGTCCAGACGGAGCCCAACCGCATCCTTGCGGACGCCCGTGCCACGGTCAGACTCATGATCGACGCATGGGGGCCCGTCCTGGGCAGATACCGCGTCGCGGGGGGCCGCGACGACAAGGTCGCCCCTGCGCGGGGGGCCTTCAGAACGGAGAACCAACCGGAACTTCCAGAGCTGGGGCCTTCAGAACGGAGAACCCGCGGAGGACCAACGGGCGAAGATCTCATCCAATTCGTCGGGGCGAGACCAACTGCCAGATCAGGGGGCCTCGACGGATGGGCTGCCAAAGAAGCCAGCGCGCTTCCGGGCGGAATCCCTCGCCTCTTCGCCAATGCGCTCCGCGCCGTGCGAAGAGCGGGGGGCATGCCTGAGCCGCTTCTCGATGTGCCCAACCCGTGCTTGCGCGCAGGTTAAGGTGAGCCCCCCATTGGCCCGTCCGCAATGTCCATCTGGGCGCGCGCTTGGGGGGCGCCGACTTACTTGCCGCGGCCTGACATCCAAGAGAACTCACTGGACCCGCCCCGCCCGCT